AGGCTGACGTTTCGGGCCTAGACCCTTCATCAGAAAATCCTATGATGCTGCTTGGCCTGCTGTGTTCATCCAGCTCTACACCTTGTTATCTCAGATTCTCCAGCATCTGCAGTTCCTACTATCTCTTAAAAAGAATGCTAATCTCTTATAGTCACTCATTCCAGATTTTATTCATTTTTCTCAACACTGGCCAATGCTAGTTTCAGCTTCAACACTGGCCAGATATGAAGGAACAAAGAAGTGTTATTGTCTCTGAATGCTGTCACTTCTAGAGTTCGAATGCACGCCAGGTAGCTCATGTTCTCTACTATATGCTGCAATGTATCACACACAAGGATAGATGTCTCTAGTGGACTGTGTGTTGATTGGGCAACAAAAGCCTAATCAGAACCAAAGGAAAACCCCACAGCCATCACTAAGCAAGCTGCACTTCTTGCTTAATATTTACTTCCAGGATTAATGACGGGTTTCATTAAGGGTAAATCTGCTCCATTCTCTGACAAAATTGGCAATACAAAGAGTATCAAAATGAAACTTTACTTACAGCCAGATAGACATTGGCTTCAAGCCCATTCAGCTGTAGCTTGAGGGGAGAATGCATGCTGGAAATACCGAACAGCTTCTTTGACCAAATCTCAGGTGGAGAGTCTCGGTACTCTAGCTGCCAATACACAGAGAAGACTTTGTGCAGGTCTAAGCCAAGGCAGCTGCAGTTGTACATGATGATACCCAACTCTTTCATCTGTGGAATTGAAGTGAATTCTGTTCAAGGCAAAGCAGCAGATGGGAATTGTCAACCTTGATTTCTCCTACAACATACTCTACCACTACAAGGAGACGTGCCTACGCATTGCTAATAAGGTTGAATATCTTAAGTAAAATGGAAAGATGGTTCTGAGATGGGAGAGACTCCAACATGGGTGTATTGGAACTGACAATGCTTCAGAAAAATCAGACTTGTTTTATTCACTTCTTGGGAATGGGCATCTCTGGCTGGCCAGCATTTGTTGCCCATCCCTACAAGATGGTAGTGAGCTGCCTTCTTGCACTGCTGCATCTGTAATTAGATGAGCATTTATACACAACATTTCGTGATCTCAGAACATTCTAGACTATTTCACAGTCAAACACATTTGTAACTTAGTCATGGTTGTAATGTAAGAAAATGCTGAGGTAATATCTGTACAGCAAACCCTTAAAAAAAGCAATGGATAATGACAGGCCAATTTGTGTTGCTGATTGCTGGATAACTATTGGCCAGGTCACGGGGATGATCTTCTTCAAAATAGTGCCATGGGATATGCTCCCATACTGAGATAGTGGACAAGGTCTCAGTTTAACATCTCACCTGAAAGATGTAATCTCTGTCTCCCTTTCCAGTTTTGCAGTGGAGTGTCAGTCTCAATCTTTATGCTGAAGTTTTTTAAAGTGGAGTTTCAACTTTTTGACTGAGAAGCAACAGTACGGTGAAGTGAGGCACAGCAGACAACAGAAGGCACAAAAATGTAGACCTCCCAAGAACTTTCAAGAGAAACTGAAATATTTTGTTGAACGACACATCTCGAAATGTATATAGTTTATCACCAGAAAGTTGTGACAAGACACTTAGAAAATCCTAACATGATTAAGCAGAGTCAGAACAGAATTCAGAAAGTAAAATCATGTTTGGCAAGTTTGCTAGTTTGTAAGGATTTAACTGATAGGATAGACAAGAGGAACCAGTGGATGTGGTGTGTTTGGATGTTCTAAAAGTATTTAATAAGATGCTACACAAGGCATATCACACAACATCAGGGTTGAAGGGTTTAGTTAGCATGGATTCAGGATTGGTTAATGATTAGAAAACACAGTAGGAATGAACGGGACATTTTCAGGTTGTAACTAGTTGGGCACCACAAGGAGGTTTATTTGTTTCTCAGTTATTTACAATCTATATTAATGACTTCAGTGAGTGGTCTGAGTGGGACGTATTTGGTTTTGGTGGATATACAAAGTTAGGTGGGAAAGTAAACACTTGAACAGGACATAAATCAGGATTAGATAGATGGGCAAATGGGCAATAACACAGCAGATTGACTTTAACGTGGCCAAGTATGACATTATCCAAATAAAACAAAAGCACAATGTGTTTTGAATGGTGGGAGGTAAGGCAATGCGTTTATTCAAAGGAACTAGAATTTCTTTGTATAGGAAGATAGCACAGAGAGGCCGTGGTCTCATGATAATGTCACTGGGCTATTAATCATTTGGCCAGGCTGGTACTCTGACAAAGTGCGTTCAAATCCTATTGTAGTAGCTAGGGGAATGTGAATTATATTTTATTTGAACTAAATTATAGAGCTAGTCTCAATAAGGGTAATCACAAAGCTGTAAATGATTGTTGTTATAAAACGGTTCACTAAGCCATTTTGGAAAGAAAATCTGCCATCCTTAACTGATTTGACCTACATGTAACCCCAGATCTACAATAATATGGCTGACATTTAACTACCTTTTCAAGTCGCCAAATAAACCATTCAGCTCAGGGGAAATCAAGGATAGGCAACAAATGTTTATCACATGAATGAATGAAGAATAATGCACAGCAAGCAATTAGGAAAGGTATAAGAGAAAGAATGTTTTACTACCATTATATAGAGTATTGTTGAGGCCACTCCTGGAGTACAGCATACAGTTTTGGTCTCCTTACCTAAGGAACACTATAATTGTTGTAGAGAGAGTACAGCAAAGGTTCAATGGAGTGGTTTCTGGAATGTGGGGATTGTCCTGTGGGGAGTGATTGAGTGGACAAATCTAATATTTTCTGGAATTTAAGGTGAATCTAACTACCAAGAGAGAAGAAAAAAACAGTAGAAAAACTGTAATACTTGAAAATGAGTTTACTGGCCAGGTAAGCTGAGTTGGACAAATTTGCCAGTTTACCTGGTTTTTCATTCGGGGTTAGACATAAAAAACATTTAAGAGATTGGACAGGGTAGACACTGAGAAAATGCGTCCCTAACTGACGAATCTATAAATTTCCTCTCTCAAGGGTTTGTGAATTTTTTTTTACTGAGTTTTGAAAGCTCAGTTGTCGAATACAGTCAATACACAGATCAGTAGATTTGTTAGGTACTGGAATTACTCAGGGAAATGGGGATAAAGCAGGCAGGTGGAGTTGAGGTAAGATCAGTTGTGACCTTATTGAATGGCTGAACAGGCTCAAAAGGGCCAAATGACTTATTGCTGCTCCTATTTTGGATTTATGTATTCCAAGAAAACATAAAAGCATAAACTGTGGTTCATAGTAAACATGAACACGCATGGATCATTTTTATGGGAATACAATTGGATACAGTCCAGAAATTCTCTTCAGGCATCTGTGGCTTATATAAAAATGAAAGGTTAAACTTCAATCTCATTTAATTACATTCTCAGTTAGTGGTTTCAAATACCTTACAAACAAAACTAAGTGTATTTCGTGTTACCACCTTAGGCTGAATGGTCTCACTGACTGAAAGGCGGGTCTGTATAGCATGTGACAAATGTAGAATTTTAATTTTGGTAGGTTTGAAAATCAAGATATATTTTAAAAGCAATAGTCAAGCATTTTCACAATGAAAGACAGCAGACGATTGTGCTGCATACAAAATCAATTTCATTCTAATAATGTATTAACTAGATAAAGGTGCTTGAGGTGCAAGATATTAGCAGTAAGGCCACCACCCCTCCAGGATTAGCCTGGAGTCAGCAGAAATTAGAGATTACTTTCAAATATGCTGCTGAGAGCAAGACAGGAACAAAATAATATGGACAGTAAGAGAACTACCTTTCTGAAGGTAGAGACACATTTTTCCTCTTGCTCTCTTCATGCCAAATGCAAGAATGCCAAAATCCAAATGATAACAACAATTTATAATACAAGAGAAAAGGTGTTGATGGGAGTTAACAATTTGACTAACTGAATGTTTTTGTTTTCATTTAATATTTAAGAAAAGACAGTTCAAAAGAGGTTCTGTAGACTGATTCCTGAATGGGTTGACTTGTCAAGAACAGCTAAACAGGTTAAGTTTTTATTCGTTCATGTTTAGAAGAATGAGGGGGTGATCTTATTGAAATACACAAGATTCTGACGGGGCTTGATAGGGGTGGTGTTAAGAAGATATTTTCACAAATGAATTAAGGGATGTAGTTAAAGAATAAGGGGACAGTCATTCAAAATTGAGATGCAAAAGAATTTCTTCTCCCAGAGGGGAATGAATATTGAGAATCCTTGACCCCAGAGAATTGTGGAGGCTAGATCACTGAAAGTATTTAAAGAGGAGGTAGATACATTTTTGAAACAGAGGAGTCGAGCACAATGATGATTGGCACATTGAAGGAGTGGAGACCTGGGACAGATCAGCCATGAGTTAACAGAATAGTGAGACAGGCTTGAGAGGTTGAATGGCCTGATTGTGTTCCTATTTCTTGTATTCTTGTGTAATTTCCCGTCAAGTAGCTCTAGTTTAATTTTATTGTTCTTGAAGCCAGTTTAGAGTTTGGGAAACATAATCTAGCCAACTCTTTAGTGCAATATTGATCAAATGCTGCACTGTTGAGGATGCCATGCCCCACAAAAGGTATTAAAGTGGGGCTCAGTCTGCTCTCTCTGGGGCCATTTCAGAGTGGATTTATGGAACAGTCACATGTCTGTGGGTCTGGAGTCACATGTAGGCCAGATCGGCTTAGACAGAGCTCCCTCCTGAAAGGGTCATTAGTGAACCAGGCTACTTTTACAGCAATGTGCTGTTGAGACAAGCTCTCAAATTCAGATTTATTATTGAATTGACATTTCACCAGCTGCCATGATGGGATTTGACCTCAAGTTGATGCAGGAATAACCCTGTCATTCAGTCTAAGGTGGTTAACATGAAATGAGCTTAGGTTTGTTTATAAGGTATTTGAAACAATTGACAGAGAATGTAATTAAATGAGACTGAAGTTTAACCTTTCACTTTTACATATGCTACAGATACCTGAAGAGAATTTCTGGACTGTATCCAATTATATTCTCATAAAAATGATCCGCTGCATGTTCCTGTTTACTATGAACTGCAGTTTATGGTTTGTGTTTTCTTGGAACACAATAGCCTCTGGATTACTAGCCTAGTAACATTATTGAAATAACTCCACAGAGGCTGGTATCCTGTCACTAAGTCACCCTTTACTTACACATGGAGAATCCTCAAGACTGATCCAGCTCCCTGACAGCTCTCAGAGTGAATAGAACCTCTGACATTCCTGTTTATATCTGTCAGCCAGGGCTCCCTGATTGGACCAGGTTAACAGCCCAATCACAGAACTCATATTCTATGAGACCAACCTGGCTGATCTCATTTCAATCACTACAAGTACCATCATCTCCACCTTAGAAACACTTGGCCGTCTATGAAGTTATAGATTTTGATTGATGAAATATTTTGCTTTTAGTCCAATGTTGCAGCTGCCAGAAGTTCTCATCCCAATTACTATTTTGTTCTGCCAGAGTTCAGGCTTCTTAGCTGATCTAATTTTGCTGGGGCCAGTTTCCAATGCCGTGTGAAATATGGCAATTGCACAGTTTTAACCAGTTACCAATGCATGGGACCAATTTATATCCAACTTTTACAATTGTTCATTTTGACTAAATGGACAGAATCTCGGCAGCATCGGGCCAGAGTTAAAAGGGGAATCCAGTCTGAAATGCCATAGAGAGATTGCAAAACACATTCACCTTAAAAA